GCCGATGTACATCTTGGCCTTCTTCCCCCAGATGGGATATTTTCCACTCACTGGAATGTCCATGCTGGAGATGGACCAAATCACAGCTCTCCTAGGCGTCGCTGTTGTCGCGGCGATACGCATTGTACGCGCAATTTTCGAGGGGAAACACCCGAATCGTACGAACTTCGTTTGATACTTCCTGTATCAGGAGGAAGAGGAGGTTATATTATACTGGAAGATACTACCAGTCGTAGTCAGTAACGTCGTTGGAGGTTTGCTATAGACTCGGACACAGCATCCATTATACCATATCTGTTGAGATCCTCCCGAGTCCCCATCTCATATCCACGGTCCGTGTGAGACACGATTTAATTCGAACAAGCACAACGGGACACATATGTATCAGATGGCCAAGTACCTGTCCGATTGGGGAATCCAGACCGAGCGGCAAGGAATGCGGAAGAAAAGACCAAAAAAAAAATCAACTCCAGGCAGACTATTCAGACACGAGGAGTCGAACCCCGATCTGCCTCGTACATGTTTGAATATTTCATTCCGATGTGTCAAGGCCGTGTTCCGTGAACCATGTCCGACTGCCCACCCTGGATTGCCTGAAAGGATACGCGACAGACCTCAGTCGCATCGAGGAGACTTGGCATCGCGAGGTGAGAACGGAGCCGGGAAGGAACAACGCAAGAAGGAAAAACATCCCTTCCAACACTCGGACAGTGGGAGTCGAACCCCGATCTGCCTGTCCAAGCTTTGCTGTAAGCAAGCAAACCCGGGATGCTTAGAGGCGGAGTTCCGTCACGGTACACCATGTCCGACTGCCTATTTTGATAACGAGGGAATGTTAAACCGTTAGGCGGGAATGTTAGCTGCGGGATTTGGAGAAAGGGAAAGAAAAGAAGGAATATTGCTCAGTAAAGAAATAACCTGCAGAGTATGGTCGTACCACGTCCGATTCCTTTCCACCCATTGAGCAGGAGTGTATAAAACAAAGTTAATGTCTGGACACGAACCTGGATGTTTCAGGTGAAGAGGCTTATTCGCAGACCATGCCACGAGATCGAGGGAGGTGAAGGAGTCGGAAGGAATGGAAAGGAGGGGGAAAAAAAAGATGACAGGATCGAAGCCCATTCGGACACGGGGAGTCGAACCCCGGACTGCCTCTCTAAACAGGGAAACACAGGATGCTTAGAGGCGATGTTCCGTACACCATGTCCGATTAATATTGTTGGCTCGAATTTCGAACTTGAGCGGGGAGTGTGAGACGGTGGGTAGTCGATCGGAGCTCATTCGAGGGGAACTGAAGAAAAGTGAGACTGAGTTGCGGGATGAGGAAGGAACGGTGCAAGGGGGTGAGAAAGAAGTGTACATGTTCGGAGTCCGCGAGGAATCCAACTCTGTACAGTACGTACTGTAAGGAGGGGTTGAATGTACCGTACCTCAAGCCCACTTGATTAACTAGCTCAGGATACCCTCCGTCCTGAATGAGTGCTGTGAGCCATGGGTATAGCTAGCAGTATAACGTACGCGTAAAACAAAAAGGCGATCCAGAGACAACGCAAAAAATCTTCACGAGCTCATTCGGACACGGGGAGCCGAACCCCGGACTGCCTTGTACGTTAAGGGGTTGATAATCAAATGCGCAAGGCTGTGTTCCATACACCACGTCCGAATAATATTGCTTGTTCGAATTTCGAGTTTGGGTAGGGAAGATGCGATGGGATGGAGTTCATCGGTGGTAGCGTGGGCGAGAGAAACTGAGCGCAAAGAAAAAAATTAATCGTGCTCGTGCGTGAGTATAAGATAATGAGAACGTTTTAGATCCACTTGGTATAAATTGGCCTACGCGCCTCTCTGCTCGTCTGCATCCACTTATAACTCCCCACCCAACTCAACCCCACTCTCACCCCCGCGCCGACTCAGCGCCCCCAACAGCAAAATGAACGCCACGAACCCCGCGAGGAGCCGCACGAGCGCGTCCGCGCCGGGGCGGGGGTATTTCATCTGTGGTTTTGTCGAGTCGGATCGTGCAGCTATTGTCGTCGAGCTCTCTTCGGGTTTCAAGCCGAATTGTGCACCCTTCGTTGAGCTCAGACTTGGGAGCAGCACTCCGTCGTCGAGATCAAGCGCAGAAGGTGGGCAGGATGTATCGAGGGAGGAGTTACGGTGGGGAGAGGTCGAGCGCGAGGAGGGCGGGGTGCGCGGGCGGGCGTGGGCGCGAGCTCGGGCGGGAGAGGAAGACGGTGATGCGGATGTGCCGCGCGAAGGCGGGAGGACGCAGGGTGCACTACAGGCGGGGCAGAGGCCTGTTGCGGCGGGGGCGTAGAGCCACTGCGTTGGTGGGTCAGCGGGTGGGCGAAACGCAGGGGGCGAAGAAAAAGCGAGAAAAAAAGCGCAGGACGTACATCGTCGATATGTTCCCTACAAAACAGCGCGCCGCAACACTGCGTGCGTACCGGGTTGACCGCCACTTCCTCGCTGCACCATCCTCATAGTTAATCCGTGAGCGACTCGACAGATAAAAAGCATACGCACCAAATCCCGCAATCACGCGCGGCGGCACGCCGGCCGCGCACCGCAACCTTGAGGTTTCCCGCGGCGTCGTACGCGCTCGAACGCGCTTTCTGCTCGCCCTCGTGGCCTGCGGGGCGCCAACTGCGCGTGCGCGGAGGCACGGGCGCGCTCACACCCATGTCTACACCCATATCCACGTTGTCGAGGCGCGGCGTCACCGGAGTGGATTCCGCACCGAGGTTGAGCGTGTATTCGAGCTCGGGGGTGTCTGGGGGTGAAGAACACGACATAAAACAGTATCAGTCTTTATTCTCAAGGAAAAACTACACTCAAAGTGCTGAAGAACGCGACGTACATTGGCCATGGGGCATGGCGACATTCATCCCTGGTTTGCGGGGCATTTTGGCGTTGTATTCGCGTCGTGTGTTATGCTAGCACGAAAGTCGAACACGATGCACGTGCTGGTTGAGTTTGGGTCAATGCAATAGACTCAGAGGGCGGGAGTCGCGATGGAGGTGGAAGGAGGTGGCAGTGATGACGTGGATCTTTTAAGCGGCTGGGCCGGGAGATCCCGGCCATCAAACTTTGATGGGCTGGTTCGGTTAGAGTCTCGAACGGCGGTATGTGGCTGGGGCAGCTCTAGAATGATCCTGATCATGAATTGAATCTGGTTACTCTGCGGACATACATGGGAAATAGAACAAACGTCACAGTAGGATACAGATTCGAACTTCAAGTGAAGTTGAACGTGGTCAAACATTGGTTTTAACTTTTCCTTCCGCTTGTTTTCCGCATACTTACCCACCATGTTGTTATCCAATGCGAAGCAGGAACTCGGACACATTTGTTGTTTTCTCAGTTAATTTTTCCTGCGGTGGCCTTCCCGCACTGAATATAGGACTGGAGGGCGTGAGAGATCTAGAAAACACCTTAATTTTGGTGGCCTACTCACGATAATACAGTCTATCTCGTACCCGTATTCATTATAAGCCAGGCAATCGGATATGGTGTACGGCACACGGCCTCTGACCATGGACTAGGGTTTTTCAATGGATTAGGGAGGCAGTTCGGGGTTCGACTCCCCGTGTCCGAATAGCGAGGAAGTCAGCCTTTTTTCCTCTCCGCCCGAATCACCTCATTTCTTGTCGGCTATCCACTGTGTAAATTCAACGTCCGCTGCGCACTGTTCAAATTGTTTTTTTTCTTTCTCTGAGACCTCCGTCCAATCATTGTCTGGACATGAAATCCGCCTTTAACCAGGGCTCAAACTGGAACCAACACTTAGACATAGTGTACGTCACACGACCTCTGACCATACAAGATCATCAAGCATTAATATTCAAGGAGGCAGTCCGGCGTTCGACTCCCCGTGTTCGAATACCCCATCTTTTTAGACGATTTTCTTTTATGCTCGCATTGTCTTTTCACCGCCGGCGCTCAGTATCTAACTAGCCGCAGATTCACTTTTCGAGGCTACGCCCTCCCTGGGTTCAAATAGAAAACTTCTCAGACCTTGGTCCCTCCCTTGTCTTGGGCATAAATTCACCTTCTACCCCAGCTCATTGTAAGCCAGGAACTCGGTACCCCATCTTTTTTTTTCAGGTGATTTTGTTTTATGCCCGCATTGTCTTTTCACCGGCGGCGCTCAGTATCTAACTAGCCGCAGACTCGGGTTCAAATCAAAATTTCTCAGACCTCGGTCCCTCCCTTGTCTTGGACATAAATTCATCTTCTACCCCAGCTCATTGTAAGCCAAGAACTCGGATATGATGTATGGTACACGGCCTCTGATCTTCAACGGTTAAACGGGGATTAATATTCAAGGAGGCAATAAGGGATTCGGCTCCTCGTGTCTGTATACTGTAGGGATTCTCTAGCTTTTTTATTTCATTTTTTATCCTCACCACCTAGATTGATTCCTCGCAGGCTACCCATTATCTCTCTACCTCGTGTATATTCAGCGTCCGTTGGGCACTCAGAGTCTCTGAGTTCAAAATACTTTTTTCTTTCTGAGATCTCGGTCCCCTCCTGATCGTGAACAATAGATAGGATGTGCAAAAGCCGCACGAGCCGCATGCGGCATTTTGTGCATTGTGCAAAGCCGCACGGCAAATTTGAAATCTGAGAGGTGTCAATTAACTATTGTGATATAAGCTTACCTGAGGTGAAGGAGAGGTGCTGTGGGGAGAGGGAAGTTTCTTGGCATTGCTTCTGCTGTGTGGCAGATGTGAAAGTATGGAAAAAGTGAGTGATGACTGTGCCTTTGTGATGCTTGAAAAATGCAGCCTCCCACGGGTGCACATCCAAAACATAACACTCCTGAGAGTGGAATATGAGATTTATGAGGCAAATTTTGAAAGACAAGAACCATGAACAGCAAAGCAATTGCCGCAGCATTGCACAATGCACAAAATGCCGCATGCGGCTCGTGCGGCTTTTGCACATCCTATCTAATAAAATCCGCCTTCTACCCCAGCTCATTATAAGCCAAGAAATCAGACATGGTGTACGGTACACGGCCCCTGACTATATTAAACTAAGTGTGTGACAAGGAGGCAGTGCGGGGTTCGACTCCCCGTGTCTGAATGTATGCATTTTGTATCTTTTTTTTTTACCGTCCGCATCACCTGGATTCATTTCTCGACGCCTAACACTGGCCACGACTACGCGAGTTTCACTAGAACGTTCTCTGGAGGATTTTGTGGAACTCCTGAACATAAATGTCTCGTATCCATGAGAAACGTAAGCCACTGTCTACGGTACACGGCCTCTGACCTTCCATCAGTTCCATTGCAATCAAGAAGACAATTCGGGGTTCAATGTACGAATGCACATGGTTTCTTTTTTGCTTCAGTTTCCCGATGCACTCTCTGTTCCATTTTTATTTCCCCCCCAATTCACATAAATTGCCTTATCTGGGCGATACCGCGGCTGATTGCATAAATTATGCAGCATAATTATAACAATCCTGGCTTATTCCAGTTCAGTGTGTCGATTTGTAATATGGACGAATTGACACAAATTAAAGCTGTTAGTGTGTGCCGCGCACCTGTTTCTTTTTGCTCTTCCCTTCTTTTGCCATTACGAACGAGGTGATGCGGCAGCACTGAGGATTAACGTAATCCTGATCCTTATGAGCTGACTTCCCAATTTGGCTTGGCGGTCTGATTTGACATGGGGACCGTTGAAGAACCCTCTCTTTTCCATTCAACACAATTTAAACTGCTCCAACTGCATTTTTGAAGCATTCTGGACTTCTTTAGTAACTTGGCCTAGAAAGAAAATTCAGCCCTCCTCGAGACCCTCTCCCCCCCACCCCCATATCCGTTTTAATGCCGACCCCCCCTTGTACTACTCTGCCCGAATTGTCTCCTAGACGTCAAGTGGCCGAGCTCCTGCGTCTTTCGGTGCCTAACATCAATAGGTGCGAATTCCCCAGATCCTTCGTCTGTTGCTATCGCAGGCGTCTCAACCTCCCGAGGGCGATGTCAATCACAAACGCCCCAACTTCTATCGGATGATATGCGGGAATAAGAACATTTGGGGTTCTTATGATGCGAAATGGAACCCCAAAGAAATTCAATACCGATCAGGCCTAACCACAGATCCAGGTCCAACCTAGAGCCTTTTCAGAGACGGTCCCTTGCGCGCGTGGTGGTCCGGTGGAAGTGGTGGGACCCGAGCACATGCATAGGTTCATTACTTGCTTCAATCTGCACATTTTGCTGAATACGCATACTCAGGTCGTGCCCGACCAACTTTTGTTTTTTCTGAGAAGGCAGTACGACAGATAGTGATCTGCCACTCGCACGCTCCAAGAATACGTACGTTGTCCGCACAGCCCGGAGTTTTTGAATGACAGTGGACTAAATCGTGGGCGTCTTTTGGAAGCCCTGCTTCCTGGATCATCCATCGCCTCACCGTGGCGCACAGCGCCAATCCCTCGAACTTTCCCGTGGGACCATTGAAACATGATGTAAATCGAAATAGATCTAGTGAGCAGCCAATTCGCACCGCCATTTTCAAATGCAATCAACCTGCGTGATGCGCTGGTCGTGGGTGGCTGTTGGAGTGCGGCTGATGCCAGCACCTGCTGCTTCTTCGATCATGTATGTGTTCACCGTGGCGCACATCACCAATCCCTATCAGGCGTCCCATGGTCTTACCTGCTACCTGCAAGCGCCAAATGAGCGCCCAGTACCGAGGTGGGCAGCATGTTCAAAAGAAATGGGCTCAGAGAAACATTGGGTTCTTCGGTGTTCAGTCCAATTCTCTCAACTCTGAACCCTAGGTTTGCTTGAAAACAATTCATAGTGCCTCTCAGGATTGGACCAGGAGATATCTAAGTGATTGCCATCGGTAGTGTTGTTGCAGGGCAGGGCTCAAGCCCGACCCGCGACCCGGTTCGGTGTGAGTGCGCCATTCATCGGAATTTGGGTGAGTAAACGGCATTTCCAAATTTACTTCTAACACCTACAACCTGTTTTTAGCCTTGACAACATCTGGAAAACCGCTAATATGGACCACTACGAGCTACTAGGCAGTGCTATGCAGTACTTCCGTAGTGCTGCATAGGTACATCCCTGTCGAAAAATGCTATCTGCATCGTGCCCATAGTGCCCATAGGTACGTCCCCGGTTTTCCAGATGAATACTACTGTATCATTTCGACCAAGTGTTCAAGTGACGCGTGACGCGACCCTTTGAACTGAACACTTGGGACCTAGGCGACGGCGACATCAAGAGTTTGGGGGCCAAATAGGCTCAAAAACGCCAAAAAAAATCGGCCCGGCAATCGCCGGACTACTATACTACACGGTAACTTCCCCATGACTGCTGAAATAAACACACCCTATACACACTTGGTCAAAATGATACGGTAGTCACCTCAAAACATGGTTACCTAACCAGAGCAGGTGTCAGATGCCACCTATCGGTTCCCATCCATGATCAAAGTTTCACTGAAGCGCCTTGTTTTCCTGTTTATAAATGGTCTGTCCGCCATCCATATCTCAAGTCCCCCTGCGTCATGCGGCACATTCTCAGTCTTGATTACCCTGTCACCCGCACATACCCAGGACGATTTTTTGCTCCAGTCGCATTTGGAGGCGCATTCGTCGTCCTGCTGTCACTGGCCGCAATCAACGGTGTGTCCATTATTGATTTCCACTCTTCAAGGCTCATTCATCCGAAGCGGCGCTGGCGGGCTATGAAACTGTGACTGGCTTCGATTCCGATTTCAATGTGACGCAGAGCCACTGGTTTAGTCGATTTCTTCCGTCGGCAGCCAAGTCAAAGCCTGGCACACTCTGTGATCCCCGGCTCTTGGGCCTTGGAGACACCATTACGACCAACTACTCCATGTTTCAGTATACCATTGCATCCGTTAACACGGCTAACGTAGGCGATTCCAGCTTTCTTTACCAGGGCTGGATCCTGGACAACTGCGACATTACATCCCTCTACGTCAATGGCGATTCAAACACTTTTATGATAGATTATACGGCCCTGGTTACCTGCCGGGCAGACGAGGCCCAAAGACTGCAAGGCATCGATTTCGAGATCACGGCACGCGCTGATTTTACGGAGTCCACGTTGTCTGGGAAATACGGGACACTGTTCCGGGACCAGACAGGGAACTTCAATCGGTCGATCGATGCCCGGGCCCGGGTGCGCAGCTCTATACTGGCAACCTCGGGCTCTGAGTTTGCGACTCGCACCTTGACGCTGCAGGCACTCACAAATGGCTCCTTTCCGACCATAATTTCCTTCCGCGCTGAATTTCCGTGGTGCCCGGCATCTCTGGGCCCCGACGCTCCCTGTGCTGCTCAGGTGCCGCCTCTGAATGTTACAGATATGTTCGAATACACCCCCGGTCGGGTGATCCAACTCTACTCCAGCAGAGGCCAATATACAAAGCCCTTGCTCACAAATGACACGTTCTGCATAATTTCAAACGCTGTACAGGCAGTGTACGCCGCCGTGCGCCTCGATCTTGGGAACCCCAGCCCCAACAACTTCTTGCTCAACACTTCCATGATATCTGATGCCATCACTAGGACATTTCCCCAGACCCATCCCAATCGCCCGGGCTATCCCGACCTACCGACCGAGTCCTACCTTTATTCGATCCTGGTCGACGACGGTTATTATTCCAATATCACCGTGGCCTTTGATATCCCAGGGCTACTCCCTTTGACTTGGCCGGGTCCCGCGGTGCTCGACGGGGTGTATCTGTGTCGATTCCAAAGGCCAAAGCCACCGCGGTCGGCGTTTATTGATGTGTTGGTCGCAACACTCAGCATGTTCACGACAGGATGGGCAATATTCCTTGTGATTGCGCAGGCAGTGGTAAAGAAACACAAGTCTGGTGGTAAGCCTCTCCTCTTCTCTGATCAGATTCGGGCGTGATCTGTGTTGATATTGTCTTCCAGCGAATGCCTGCGAGGGACATACAATGTTGCCCACTTCATGCACCAGCGCCAGTAGCGCCCCACCATGTGAATCGGAACCACTCTATTGGAATGTAGACTCGAGCGAGTGCCTATGCGCCCAAAGATTCACGGCTCCGTGATAGGGACTAGAAGTATCTCTCTTGACAGACTATCCACTCGTAACCTCGTTCTGAAGTTAGTTACCGCGCTTTGATTGCCGTTATGTATCTTACGATCAACTTTTTTTGTAACTTATAACACAACCAAAGAATTTTAATCAGGACGTATCATCGCGCGTCTGCCGGGTTTTTACGGCCTCTGAGCGCGGAGGAAGCACCCCAGCCCGACTACATTTAGCCACCTTAACCCCGCTGACTTCAACTAAGCCACCCCCTACTGGCAGCGTTCAGCGCCAAAACCTGCTACTGCCGGTACAGCATCCGCTACCGCGTCTTCGCAGCCACGACTTCGCGCTGAGGCGAGCACCAAATGGAAGAAGACGCACGATATTCTTGGCCTCATTACAAGGGATCTCGATAGTTTGGGAAATTCCTTCCGGAATATGACGTGTGATCTCAGTCAGAGGCAAAATTATTGCCGTTTGGAAAAAGTTGGCGGTGGCGGGAAATACAGTCGAAGCTGTCGTAACCCATAGCTCTCACAACCCATAATCTGTAAAAGCCCATACCTTTTGGCTGTCCACGGGGGCTGTTCTCAATTAAATCCCATAACTCTCTAATACCCCATAACCCATACCTTTTTGACAGCCAAAACCCATACTTTTGATGTATTTTCTGTCCATTTCTGCCCTCATTCCATGGCCTTTGGAGGACTTATTATGGGTAAATCAATGTCATCAGTCATAAAGAGCTATTGGATGGGTATTTCAACTCAATTCGGACCAAATTCTGTTCATCAGTTGATCTCATGGGTTGGTAATGAGTTGACCAGGATGTCGAGAGATCTGCAGAATGGAGGGGAAGGCACTGAAGGCCTTGTATAATGGATATACGACTAATTTTGCAGGTGTACATGACATTTCATGGATTATCACGCCCAGCAGAAGGATTTCGGCAAAGACCGGGATTTGCCGAGAGCTTTCCCACGGCTGCTGGAACCCATACGCTGTAAAAACCCATACTTTTAAGGGTCT